GGGGGTGGCATGGCTGATGGTGGGCCCTGGCGGGTCGGGAGTCAGGCAGCTGTCCTTGGGGGCTCCACTCCCAGGATCAGACGGTGGAACCAAGCCTGTCAGAAAAGGCAGCGGTCGGTGAAGGTGGGCTAGGGTACCAGAGTGGATTCATTCACTCTTTTTTTTTTCTTCTGGTCCCCAAACTTACCAGGCATACTCTTGCCTCAGGGCCTTTGCATTAACTGTTCCCTCTGCCTGGAATGCTCTTCCCCGCTCTCCCCTAGGCTTGCTGCTCCCTGCCTTGACAGCTTTGTCTTAAGGGCGCCTCCTCATCACCCTCTCAGACACTGTCACGCCCATCACAGGTATCTCACATCTTGAATTACATTTGCCAGATTAGTTCATTGTCTGTTGTGGAGCTCTCCTGGGGCCAGGCTATTCCCTGCTGACCCCAGGGATAGCACAGAGGAAGGCCAGGCACAAACACAGCCCCCCTCCCCCCAGCCAGAAACCCTTCTTTCCCCCTCTGGGCTCGTCTGTTGGCGTTACTTGGCGAGGATCCTATCCCTCTCCTCAAGACCCTGCCAGCCTCTCGCAGGCCCAGCACGTGGTAAAGGAGCAGGGAGCGGGAGCGGGAAGGAGGGGAGGAAAGACCCTGTGGATCAACGTGCATTCTGAGGAGCAGGAGCAGTGGGAAGTGGGGCTGCCGACCAGCCCTGGCCCTAGTCTGGGGAGCCTCTGTCTGGGTCTTCTCTGCCGCAGGAGCAGGCAGGGGCCTCTTGCCTTCCTCTCCAGATCACTGGGCTGTGGAGCAGGTGCAGCACCATCTGTGCCCTTGGCCTGCTTGGAAGGAGGCCAAGCTACCTGGGGGAGGCTTTGGCAGTGACTGTGTCCCTGGCATTCACTGCTCCCAGGTGGGGAGCGGGGAGGCCCCTCCATTTCCAGGCTCTGGAGCCCTGGGGCTGGGGAGCAAACTCTCGGGGCCACATCCTGACTCTGAGGTTAGGATCCCCAAACAAGGTGAAGTCCTCTGAGTGAGGGTTTCTGCCTCCTGGTA